GTGTCACACTTTGGACCCAAAAATCGGTAATCTGTCTTTCCTCCATAATGGAGCATTTCCTCACACAAACAGCATGCCATCTCAACCAGCGCAGGAGTGCATTTCATTTTGGATCTTTTGAGGGATTTCAAGTTGTGTCACACTTGTAAAATATGCTGAGTACAACTGGAGCTCCTACTGTCTGATGGGTTAAGAGGTTTGCATTTTTAGGCACAAATCTGACGCAATTGGCCATCTCAGTTAGTCTTAAAGAACTTCTAAAATGTGTTTCTCTCTCTCTGTCAATGTTGTTGACTCTACATCTAAACAAACAACAGTCACAACAGAGCACACAGAGGTCTGCATGGCCTGGTATTGTGAAGGCTGTGCTGCCTGTTTGAAGCACAAAGCAGGCCGCTGATGTTCAGCTTGTATCATTAAGGAACAAATGGAAACAAAACAAGCACAGCACTAATAACAGAATGAGGGTTTCAAAAAGGCGTTTTTCATAGTGTAACACTCTTAAACAGATAACAGAATCAACAAAGGCACAGTTTCTACTTTTATCAAATATATAAACTGTTTATATCGTCTAATAGGCTGGTAGGAATGACTTTGCTCAGAAACTGACCTAAATCATTCAAGCTTACTTTCAAACAGAAAACTAACAACTAATCATTATTTTTATCGATTTCAATTGGCTATTGTATAGAAATGGGTGCTAACCCCTCCTTTTGAGAAGCTGAAACCAGCAGAAGTTTGCAATTTTTGTTGCGATTTATGGAGATTAAACATAATCGTTCCCGATTTTTGATTTATCAGAAGGCCCCTTTCAAAAACTCCTGATGTTATGAAGTGTCGCTGACAAGACGTGAACTTTGTTACATTTATCCTTAAAAATACCCTAAACATGTGACCCTTTCCGTAACCTTGGCAGCTACTTAAACCCTAATGTGAATCCACTTTTCTGAAGCCAGAGGCACAACGTTTTTGTTGTTAAGCAATGACACAAAAAGCCAACAGTCAGGATAGGTTGTTCAGCTCCAGCATGCTGGCAATCTTCCTGGCAACTATTTAACAGTAGCAGAAGAGCTAAAGTTAACTTGATTTGCTACACAAAGATGTTGGACTGCAACAACAACGTGAACATGTGTCTCATTCTCACTACAGCTGGCTTCCTGAAATGTACCTTTACAAGTTCCAGATAAATGTTCCTATTATAACATTATACTCATGGTAGCATAACTGGTAAAGGTCAAATATTTTTTTTAAATGATGGCTCTTTTTCACAAGTAAGTCCCAGTAAGCAATGCCAGTGAGCCAGCATGCACACACCGGTGAGATAAAATATCCGCTGCCTCATCTAATGCAGCAATTTGACGATTATTTAAAAAGTATTTGAAAACAAATTTGTTTCATTTTGAGAAAAGCTATCAAATATAAACAACTAAATCTGTATTTGTTGATTTATGCTTTGTGGTATACTGACAGTACATTATCAGTTCATTATCAGTACAGTCCATGGCCTTTCCTCCTCTAAATAGATCAACACAATTTGGTACTTTAGTTCACACATCTAGAAAAAGTTAAATTCAGTTTTTCACAGTGGTGCCTGCGCAATATCACACTGATTATTCTTATTTATATTGAATAGTCTTTAAAGTATCACAATATATATACTTACACTCAACTCAATACAAGGACCTGGTACACTACATCACTTTGCTCCAGTTGAAACAGATTTGAATGTGTCTTGTTTTGTTTTGTATGACTGTTGCAGTGCCTTATTTAACTTGATGACGGTTATCAGTGTGTGTTTTCATAGTAAAGGATTTAGACCAAAGGCTTGTGACGGCTGTGGAGCCATAAAGGACCTGTTCACTCAGCTTGAACTGTCTCATGATAGTTTTAAAACTGGCTAAAACAGAATATGTGGTTTCTTGAATGGATATACAGTACATATTAAATTATCAACATCTTTGGGTGTAAATTGTACATAATCTTGACATATGAAAACTGGAAAGTCCATTTGGTTATGATGTATTTGTGAAGGCCTAAAGGAGAGCCAAAAGGATGGCTTTGGATAAAAAAAATGGCAGCAACCTTAATAATTAGAGTAGCCATTTTGTGAGCTAAACTGCTTCTTCACTGCTTTAACACAGCTGTTTGTTAAAGAAACCAGGGTAGCTCTGATCTATGGTACATTTAGCTAATGCTGTCGGGGAAATGTAAAAATGTGTGACTTAAAAAGGGTAAATACATCGAGAAAGAGTTTCCTGAAATGTTGATTATAATTTGCCAAATGAAGCAGCTATAAAACATCTTTTAAGTCGATATTTAGCGTGTTGCTTATCTTCATCATCAGGTCCCTGCCTGTACAAAGATGTACATTTTCATGCACTAATAACTGTATAAAAAGTAGACATATTCAAAACAAAATCCTAATGTGGATGCATTGATGTGTGTGATGGTGTGTCAATACTTACACTGTTGTTCATGACATATTGTTAATAATCATATAATGCCTATATTGATATTACCATGCTATTGGACCTAACTCTGCATTTGCACTTGCACTATTAAGATTAATATTAAAATAAATTGCTCGTGTTTATTTTATATAAAAATATATATAGTTTAAATTGTATTTTAGCACATAACTGTTTAGTCTGTCCTTACCCCTCAGTTCCTCTCTGGCTATGTTTACATTATATTACAGCCAGATCCTAGCGAGCGAAAAGGAAAACATATCTGTTTGTTTAAACTACCGTGTACATTGTTTTACATTGTGTATGTTAGAAATGCTGCATTGTGTTATATTATTATTTACTGTGCACATCCATGATCAAATATAATGTTAACATTGAACACGTCAGAGCTTCAATGTTCATGTTCATGCAATTTAAAGTAAAACTGTGCTCACTAAAACTTCTCAAAACTGGACGTGTTTTATTTTTCCTCTAATAGCGGAGGTAAGCTGAGGTTACTGAAATATAGTTTTGTTGTCATTTTCCATTTGCAAAGTTTTTCTTAAAACATCAGCAGACTACAGTTCAGTATTTCTGCTGTTTAAAAGGATATCTTTCAAATCTGCATTAGTGCAAGACTGAAAAGTATAGCATCAGTTTGTCGACTGCTTCGAATGTTGAGCATCAGGGCCATTATCTTTATCGTAGCTTTCCAGGAAAACAAATTAGGAGTAACAGAAAACATTGAAATACATGTTAGGGATCTACGATATGTTAATCAATGACAATCTCAAGTGTTTTGGATGACTTATACTTACACCATTTTTTTATTTGGTCGTTTTGAGAACTTTGACAAGATTAAATCAAAGGGACATAATCATTTAATGTTCAGTTAAAAAAAAAAAATCTGCAGTTTCATCTTTAAAAACAACAATAATGACAACAGGCTGAAACAAATGCTTGCAGTCAGTTTTTTCCTGCTTGTTTGTACGAATAACCTGCCAAAGAGCACGATTGTATTATTTTAACAGTCACAGAGGTGTGTGTGTGTGTGTCTCCCCAGCGCTTTCATTTCACTAACCTTCCCGTTCAGACAGTCTCCTCTCTGAGACGCCGTCTGTCGTCATCGTGATTTATGAGTTTAATAAAACGCTGTGTGTGTGTAGCTCAGGGCCAAACTGTCCCTTACAATCACTCCAGCAGCTCTCTTTTCACAGCCTCTCCCTCCCTGCGTGGCTGACAATAGCTGTGAATGCGGCTGTGAATGTTTCAGAAGTGCCCTTGTCAGACTCTTGTCCTTGAGCGAGGGCACGGTTGTTACTGCCAGTTTGTTAATTTCAAACTTGCCTTGATGTCCCCTGAAGGGACGCGGGAGCAAAACTAAATTACTGCTGCGTAGTTTTGACGGAGACACCGGCCCTCTGTGTGTTTGTGCTGGTGTGTGTGTTTGTGCTGGTGCTGGTGTGTGTGTGTGTGTGTGTGTGTGTGTGTGTGTGTGTGTGTGTGTGTGTGTGTGTGTGTGTGTGTGTGTGTGTGTGTGTGTGTGTGTGTGTGTGTGTGTGTGTGTGTGTGTGTGTGTGTGTGTGTGTGTGTGTGTGTGTGAGTGTGTGTGAGACTGTGTGGTAACTAAGTCTCTGTGTTTCACTAACTCAGCAGAAAATGACAGCATTTCATCTGCAGCTAGATCACCACCATGACCAGACTGTTAGGGACTGTAGTTGAGCTAGATATCTCAGTTATGTCCCCAGTGTATTACCTACTCCTGGTTACACACACAGCCAAATGCAAATCAATAAACCGTATGTATTTATCACTATGAGAGGGCGATAAAGCAAATCAAATTTCACAATCTTTTTGATGAAATACCTCCATTTTGTGAAGATATTGTAGGGTTTACTAATGGTTCTTTAACACACATATTTACATAATGTTTTTTTTATTAGTGATGTATCATGAATAATGTTGATATCATGACCAGGTGGGTATTGGCAACATTAAAATTACATTACTTAAGGCAGCCTTTAAAACCAGGAACACACAACAGTTATGCTATATTACAAAATGACTGTATCCAAAATCTAAGACAATATTGATATATTATTAATATATTGCTAACTCTCAAGTTAAGAGCTTGAATATGGATAGTTTTTGAGCTACTGCTTTTTAAACACTGATAGGAACACCGTCCTCATATTTGTACTATCAAAAACAGAACAAGTGGAAAATAATTGTTGCATTAAACACTATGCCATAATAAGAAAGATGAAATTATACTTTTCTTGAAAATGTACATACAAGTTTTACAGATACAGTACATAGATATTTAATAGATGTACAAGGAGCACAACATATAGGAATCTAATGGAGAAACAGTCATGCTGGAAACGGTTTGCTTTGAGGAACAGTGTTAACTTTACAACTTATTTTAAATAATTTTCAAGTGAAGAAAATGTAAGACAAGTACAACTTTTTTTTTTCTTGACCATTATTTATAATTTCTCAAAAAAACACAAACATTGATCAATGAATAATCTATAAATACGCCTTTTTTTGTACAACAACCATAAATAATACTGCCAGTGTAAAAAAAGAAAATGTTATTATAACAATACAGAAGGCTTCAATTTAAGACATCAACGTTACACAGAAATTCAACATTCTGATAAATACTGTTTCTATCATGTTTAGCTTCTGAACATTAAAAGGCTTAATCTGTGGAGTCCACAAATACCCAGGGTTCATTCCTGCTGTAACACCAACACAGGAAGTAGCTGAGATCTGTTTATCTTTCTGAAGATGATTGCATTCTTGATAATACTAATTAAGCCACAGATAAACAACACTGAATCTGACTAACACTGACAGCTGAAATATGAAACCAAACACATTCAGCTTCCCTACATTTAAACAAAACTTAAACTCTCTATATAGTTTCTTGTCAATTTAAATCAACAACTGATACTGTACAAAAAAATCTCAGATCGGGCGCTCAAGTCACATCACATAATAACAACAGTCTGACGGCACATCTGTGATTCCCAGCCACATTTTAACACATTCATAATAATAAAAACAGTTGGCATTTTTTTGTCCATAAAACTAACACCAAGGCCATGTGTCTTTTTACAACTAAAAGATTGCTAGGCACAATAACGTCATGAAGCAGAAGAGGTGACGGAAACCTTTGATATTATTTGAGACTGGTTTAGATTTAAATAGTGAGAAAAACGAATCTGCTTTAAAATATACTAACAGTTGGCAAGCAGACACAGTAACACAATCATTTCCAACTCTCAATCTGGTTCTTTTGAGCAGGATTTAAGATATATGATATTGTATAATTACAATCCAGATATGGATACTCATAAGCTATGCAGCTGTATGACTCATAACCTACACAATCTCAGCTGACGGGGTTCATGTCTGATCTGTTTTCATGGATGTTGGATCCCTTCCTTCACTCAAGTTCAGACTATTAGTCCCAACAGAGAGTCATACACCGGTTTTGTAAAACACCTGTGTAAAATAGTTTAAGATGAAGTAAAGCAAACATTACCATCCCTTCCCCTCAGGAGTCTAAATCTGACTTTGTTTGATCATTAAAATATTAGTAACACTGTAGAAGCACAATATTGAGATACTTCAAATGAAAAGTAATTATTGTTTATCAATGGTGAATAATTCCCTTACATTATATTTAAGACTTTATATTTCAAGCATTGTCAATAATTGTCTAAAGCCTGGTATTCAGCTGATACCGAATAGGATTTATGTTTTGGTTTAAAACTTGGTTTAAAAGGTGACTGTGATACCTGATGAGACGTAGGGTTTCTAAAGATGAGTGTCAGTGAACATGGTGTGCTCCTTTTTCCCAGATCTTAAGGCTTTGATGGCGTCCACAAACTCATCCTCCTCCACATACTGAAAGAAAACATTGGATCACAGTTAGGACTTGAATAATGTAATGGATATCATCAGTTACAGAACGTACCGTAAGTGACAGAGAGCATAGAGCAAGTGACACCAGTTGTACCCTGTACTTTTTCACAATTCATTTATTTGAGTGTATATTCTGCACAATATAGTCATCTTCTAATGCTTGGTTCTACAATAATGCAAAATCAGTTTGGTATAGAGTGCCACAGTGACGCGTCCTAAAACCCGGAAGTAAGTTAGCATTTTACCACTTCCGGTTCCTTCGACAAAAACCAATGCAATTTCTCCATAGGATTTTGGAAAATAGCTCGAAATAAGGTCTGTGGTTGACAAATTGAAGAAACAGATCACGTTTTGTTCAGCCGGATAATCTCCACATGTCTACCCTACTTTTATAATTTTCGAATCATAAATCTAATCGATAGATTTATGATCGATAGATTTATGATTAGAAAACTATAAAAGTAGGGTAGACATGTGGAGATTATCCGAACCAAAATCCTATGGAGAAATTGCATTGGTTTTTGTCGAAGGAACCGGAAGGAGTTTACTTCCGGGTTTTAGGACGCGTCACTGAAATGAGCTTTGCTGATTTTCTATTTATTTAAATAATCTATTCATTTTAACACACTTGCTCTCACCTGTGTAGCTGTATTTGTGTTATCTTAATAATTGTTTGTACATATGTTATCAAGTTATTCTGTATCTTTGACAGAAGATACATTTCCACTGGTTTTGCATGAATATACAAGGGTCAGGTAATGATTACAATTCTACTTGACCTTAGAGTAAATGCATCAACATGTAGTCCTACTTTGTAATTACTGTACTTTAATGGTAATGTTAACAAACTAATTTGACATGCAAATACTTCTGTGCTCACCAGTCCAGAGTCATGTCCCAGTGGGTTGTCCCAGCTTCCTTCCTCCATCATCAGTGACTTCCTGTCGATCAGCTGACTGACGCTGCGGTGCAAGGAATGCTGGGAGTAGGCCAGGTCTGTCTGGCTCGGGACCCTCAGGACAGACATGGGGCTGCCCACTATCTTTGTGTCTGTCAGACCCTAAAGAATATTTATTTTAAATCAGATGGTGATCTCAAAGACCATATTACAAATGATATACATTATATTTTACTGCAAGTCATTTTTTTTATGCATAAAGAAGTTTTACATTTGATGAAGAAAAAAACAGATATACATTCACTGTCATGGATTACACCGTTTTCCACCACCTGACTCTCCAAATATAATGTTCACGTTACTAAATGAGTGGAAACCAATGGCAGTTAAGTATAGGTATCCACACTAGGACACACCAAAAGACTGCACAACATACAGTTTCTTACCTTTATGATATTGCATGTAATTACACTCACACAAACACACACACACACACATGCACAAACAAAACAGACATGCGTAGAAGGGCATCCACACAAATTCACAATCCCGTACCTCAGTGTAAACAGTGAAGCTTTTAAGTACAACGTTGCTGATCTCAACACAGCCTGCTACAGTGTCAAACTGCAGGGGGACAATAAAATACACATTTAGGGTTTGGTCAGTAATTATAGAAAAATGTCTTACTGTGGGACGGTCAGGGAGGAACACAGAGCTGGAGAGATGCTTAGAGCACAACTCAGGACAGGACCCCTGAGAGAGGGAGAGGGGGGGGAGAGAAGATGAGGATGGAGAAAGTAGAATAGGATGGAGGAAAGTCAGAAAAGGCAGGTATAGGAGAGAAAAAAAGACAGAAACAAATAAAAATAATTTAAAAGAGAACAAAGAGAGAAAAGTAAATGAATAAAAAAAATGCCTTATGTGGGTGAAACTTTTGTAAAGTAGTAGTAAGACTGTAATGTAAAAAATAATACAGTAATTAATCAAACGTTGGATAAAGGTGGAGAATCTAGTTTGATTAGCAGTGTTAGTACTAGTTATTGGTAATGAGTGATTTGAGAGCTAAAAGAGTTTGATCTCTTAGAACAATCGTAAATATGTCAGATAAAATGTTCCTACTCCTGAAAAACATCTGTATAAACCTATGTCAGAGTTTGGTTTGTGTAAAAAGATTCCTCATCCCAGAACAGCTTGCTTGTTGTTTCAGCCCCCTCTGTTGGAACAAAGATTAGCAAAGAAAGGATTTGTATACCTAAATGTGTACAATCGGCGTAAAGAGTTTTTATCTGGTCACCTTGTGTCGAAGAAGACGCTTGTGAAACAGTCCTGTTTCCACTTCAGTTTTATCTTCCCTAATGTTTCTCCTGCTTTTACCTTTTTCTAAACCTTACTACCTCTCCCTTCTTCTCTTCTGCCCCTTCAAACACCCTGTCATCGTTCACTGAGCATCTGTTTCTCGTCTCTTATCGCTCACCGTGTACACCTCTCCTCCAGCCTTCCTGTTCTTCTGCAGCATGACCAGCGGGGGGCGCTCTCTGGCTGAGGGATTCTTCCTCAGGGCTCTAGAGAGGATACAACAATTCACACCCTTTTGTTGTTATTTACCTTCAGATTAAACTTTCTGTTTTTACAAAGAGTTATATTTATACTCAGATATATGTATTACTGCCTTAATATGCCATAAGCCTTTTACATGCTGCATTCAATGACCTTTGTAGCAGGAGGCCCAGCAGCAGGGCGAGCAGAAACAGACCCAGCAGAGACAACAACAAGATGAACCACAGCTCAGAGTAAACTGGTGCTGCTGACATGCTGATGCCTTCTTTACCACTGTCTTCAGGCTCAACAGGACCTGCAGAGAGAAATAAATAAGTTGCTATTTAACTGCATGTGATTTGACAACTTTGAACAAAACATAATGCTATTAAAGTCTCAATTAATGGAAATTGGGGAAAATGCCATGCAAACAGATATGCTCAGGAATATTCAGATTAGATTTTATACCTTGACTGATTCCAGCAGTGTGTGTGTGTGTGTGTGTGTGTGTGTGTGTGTGTGTGTGTGTGTGTGTGTGTGTGTGTGTGTGTGTGTGTGTGTGTGTGTGTGTGTGTGTGTGTGTGTGTGTGTGTGTGTGTGTGTGTGTGTGTGTGTGTGTGTGTGTTACCTAGGCCTGTGGCAGGGCTATATCTGATGGTGGGAGTACTGGCACTGCCACTGTCTGTGGTACACGTCACCTGAAAGGACAGAGCTAAGAGCAGAGAGGGAGAAGGGTTACTCAGTACCCGCCTGAAAGACAATAAATAAATAATAAATATTTCTTTTTTTTGCATTGAAGAATTACATATGTAGACTCAACAAAACAAAAAGTTAACAATCAATAACAACCCATAACAATAATCGGCAATAACACATTATTGTTATGGGTCATGCATAAATCAGGCAGAGTTATCCTTTAACAATAACTTAAATATTACATAAAGAATAGTAGGTGTTAAATTCTCCTGTTAAACAAAGTGAGACCTTTTTTTTATTTGTTCATTAAGGTTTTTAATTTAAAATGATTGTTCTAATATATATTAAAATATGTTATTATTTAGCAGTCTAAGAAAACATCCTATTTCTTTTGGAGAACAACATTTTTTGTTGTCAGTAGAGATTGATATTTTCCCCCCAAAAGTTGTTGCTACCTGGTATAAACGTGAGAGTGCATATATGCACCAGGTGTGTTTGGTATGTGTAATCTCACTTTTCTGCGAGATGCGTGGAACATGGAGATAGCTGTAGAAGCCGGTGTAGACCCTCAGCTGGCTCTCGGTCACACTGAACTCCTTCAGGTACCCGTTCAGGGAGAAGGACTCGGTCCAGTCCAGACAGATGACTGTCAGGTTGCTGCCCACCGAGAAGGGAGACACATACTGGGGGGCTGGATGGAGAGAGGGAGAGATAGAGAGGGTACACAGCAGAACAATTAGATGTGTTTTATATTTCTTATTTTAGCTGGCAGTGTTGAGGGATTGGAAAAAGGTGTTACCTTCGCTGAGTGTGGTAACAGTCGTCCAGTTGGAGGCAGTGCTGCCCATTTTATTGAAGCAGGCAGCTCTCAGCTGATAGGTGGAGTACGGCTGGAGACCTGCACAGAATAATCCAGTTGCTTATTCATACGCTACACACAACAAAGACAGACATTACCTTATCATGCGTCACTCGGTACTGGAGATTCTGAACTCTAATACTTGTTAGTTCAGATCTTTATAATTGTATCACTGTGGTTATTATTTCTCCTACTTATTATAGTTTTCTAATGTTGTTACTAATGAAGAAGTTATTTTGATTGGACATCTTTGTACATTGAAAAATATCTAGACTTTACCTGTCACATTGTAGCTCCGCCTTTTCCCAAAGAAACAGATTTCTATTGGTCCTTCGGCACAAGGGAGGGGTACAGGCTGGAGGGGCTGCGGGCAAGGTGATCTGAGATGTAGCTCACAGCTGGCATATAGAGAGAAAGTGAGTAACAGTGAGAGTTATGGTATGTGTGTTACTGTTTGTGGAGTCTGTGTGTAAACCATTGTGCAAACAGTTTTTAACAAAAAGAAAATACACTGAACGATGCGAGCTTGTCATTTTTCCGACTCACCTCTCAATGACTCCATTAGGTGCCAGAGGCTCGTCCCACTCCAGCTGCACAGAGCGGGTCGTCAGGGTGACGGGGCGGGGGGGAGGCTGGTGGTCCGGGGGGGCGGCCAGGGTCTGCAGCTCACTCAGAGGACCCTGGCTACAGCACTGCCAAGTGATCAAAACAGGGATACAACATCTACAGTTACATATTGTGTGCTTAGTTTTTCTTTTTAAATCATGCCTGGACACTTTACTTCTAAACTCCAAAATACTATATATTTTTTCTGTGTATCTGTCAGTGTGTCAAGTGTACTGTGCTATTTTGCAACTAGTAGACCAGATTAGCAGCAGACTGAATCTGCAGATGTTATGTCGGAATCCAAATACCTTCATTTGTCCCACAGAGGGGAAAGCAAGTAAAGAGCCAAAGATAGCTTAGTATTAATTAAGAAGCATGCATAACAATATTAAATATAAAAGTAGAAATGACACAATTTACCATTGACTATGTGCACACATTAGTTCCATTACCTGATAACAGGTGCAGGCCTCTACTCCTACCCAGTACTGGGTGTAGGGACGTAAACCATGGAGTGTCTGCTGATGGGATGTCCCCTCTGAAAGCTTAATGAAGAGGAAAGTGCGAGGGTGAGATATGTTTAAGTTTTGGGAGGTCAGATCATATCAAAGCACATTTTGGATGGAAAGAAAGGGGGAAGAGGGAATATGTGTGAGTGACACAGAAAAGGGGTTTGTAGAAATTCAGTAAAGAAACTGATTTCAAACAAGTGTGTAATGAAATGCTTTACCAGAGTGTGGTTGTTGTGGTTCACTGAGAACACTCGGTAAAGGCTAACAATCCCGTTGGGTCGTGCTGGAGGGCGGATCTTCACTACTGCTGAGGTCGCTGAAACACGAAGGAAAATAGGTGGGCCTACACCCTCAGGTGGGGCAGGTCCTGTTCTCCCATTGGCCCACGGACTGGCAGACCGACCGGCCGAATTCACCGCCCACACCTGTGTAAACACGCATATATTTGATGCGAACAATAGAACATCTGAGATAAAATGAGAACCTGACATAGACTTATTCTCCCGTCATTGGACTTTTAGATGCATTTTTATTAACTCTCAATGATGAAAGCTTCTCTTAATTACCCAGTATCCACCAGACCACCAAAAGAAAATAAGTAAACTCATCGGGCCATCGATCAAAACTACCATCAGCAGTGAGAGCAAAACCTTTTCAACATGCAACGCAACACGAACATATCTGCATGACAATTACTTTTCACCTTCATCAAGGAGTTACACGCACGCGCACGTGCACACACACACACACACACACACACACACACACACACACACACACACACACACACACACACACACACACACACACACACACACACACACACACACACACACACACACACACACACACACACACACACACACACACACACACACACACACACACACACACACACACACACTAATCTTATTTGTGTGCCTGTGTTGGGTATAATTAGAGGGTGTACACAGCACAGGGTCAGGCAGGGTGGAGATTTGCATGTGTAAGTCATCTGTAGCCTGTCAGAAGTAGTGCAGAAGGCAGATGGATGAGTCTGAGCTTTTCTGTTGAAAGTGTGTGTCTCTGTGAGTGTGATGTGTTGGTCGCTGTGACGGCGAGTTTTGTCCGTGCACGCCTGTGCATGCAAGTGTGTTAAGAGTGGAATTAACCTCAATAATAGTCAATTAGGCTGTGATCAATCAGACTGATTGATCTAAGTGACAGCACAGATGGACTGAGATGGGAGAGGGGAAAGAAGAATGGAAGATGGAGAGACTTGGAACGGGGAGGAAGAGGACAGGAGGAAGGGTGGACAGGGCACAAAGAGAGGAGGCAGGAGACATTTTTAGCTTTTCCGTTTTATACTTTTGTGGATACTGGTTGAGTTCTAGAGTCAAGTTTTTTCTCCGTATTTGTAGCAGGTGCCTTATTGTGTGCAGATATGTGATTGCAGCTTTTATAGTCACTTGATAAAATTACTTCACAAAAACAACATTTTAGTGTCTAATCTATTAAACTGAAAAGGGACATCTGCCCTTGAACGCTTATTTGGGGTATTGTTTTTGTGTGTTGACTAGTTTCATCTGGACAAACTGGCCTCGACTCGCCCACTGGCCCATGAAACTGTCTTCTGCTTTTAAAGGGGATGAGAGTGCCTGATGTGATTGTCCATTGTTGTGGCCCGCACTAACTCCACCAGCTCAGACTGCATGCTTACTGCTAATAATGTATTCATCCTGTTTTGCTGTCTTTTTTTTACTTTTAACCTGCTGCACCTTGTTTGTGTGAAACTCTGTAATAAATGAAGTAATGTAATAGTATCTGCATGTACTTGCAAATAAGTAAACTTCCCTATGTTATGTAATTATGCTAACAATGTGTTATCGTAGCTTTTATGGTTAGATTGTTAACTTGTGATTAAGTACTAAAGCTGTTATTGTTATCACATTTGTAGAACGGTATACCTTTAGAAATGATATAACATGCCAGAAAGCCTAAAGAAAAAATACATTACCACTAAATGAAAGAAAAATACATCTACTACACATGCAATTTCTAATGGGACTTGACTTGTTGCTTCAAACTGTTTCAGTAACATTTACTACCTGGCATCACATCAAAATCTAACTGCAGCAATGAAATATTTCTACCCAGCAACAACCATGTTCTTCCCCTGGTAGCAACACATTTAAATCCCCAACATGACGCAAGGCTTTTGGGCTTGATTAAGAAGTTTGTGCCACATAGACAGAACAGAGAAAAAAAGTTTAAAAATAAAGTCAGCCCAGATCACCTTGCCCTTGATCCAGCGCTAAAAGGTAGAACTCATCTCTCCGTCCCTATATCATCTACAGACTTTTTACGGCTTTCTTTCGTCTCTTGTCCTCTCTCCTCCTATTGGGCCGGGTTTTGGCTTATTGGACACAAAATAAAAATACAACCCGTTAGCTGCCATGGCAGCAAATGAGCCACCATGGCAACAAACGACTTCAGGAAGCTACCAGCAAGTATTAAAGCATTTTTATTGGATGGTTTGACTGCGGACTCGATTTGAGCACTCCGATTGGCCGTCGACGCTACTTGGCGGGTGCATCTACTTGGGGTGAAGGGGCTAAGTTGTGTGAAAGTGGGCAGTAATTAAAACCAAGCATAAAGCTGTCAATAGGAGCTTATGACCCAGTGTAATTAGCCTAATATGATTTCTCTCTCTGCACTGTGGTGTGCTAAACTGAACTGACTTATCGTCCTTGTGTACGCCTGAAACACAGACAGAGAGGAAGAGAGCCAGATAGGTACATAGAGAGATTAACAGCTAAACAAAAATAAAACCAGGCAGAAAGATAGACGTACCAACAGGTGGCTAGTTTAGAAGAAATGTTGATAGAGAGAGAAAGTATAACTTACTGCTTAGAAATAGAGAGATAAATGATATAATATGAATAGCCAACAAGTTATATTGTTTCTTCGCTTCACCGTCTCTAACACACACACTCATAGAGGTTTACGTGCACACACAGAGTAATACTGTGTACATGTGTGTTCACACTTATACAACCACCTTGTCCACGCACCCCAATCCCCCATTGACAAATCCTCAGGGGACGTGTAGCGGTCACCATTAAAAGGTCTTTCCAATACAAGCTCTGTTACCAAGGGGGCTAACAGTTAATTCGATTGGCTGGCTGGTAATCAGGAAGTGGGGTGCTCTGAGGGCCCAGTGATTAATGGTGCTGTTGCCCGCCCGTCATCTCCCAAAGCTCCTCCTCCCTCCCTCCTCCTGTCATAAATTAGGACCCTCGTAAATAAAGACGGCACCACAATCAGGCAAACTCAATCAATTACACAGGTTCTCTGGCCTCAGCTCGTACGTCTGACAGGCAGGAATGCTAATGTTATTGTTGCTTCCAAAGGGCTAGCCTGTCAATTAGCGTAGCAACGCACAGCACAACAGCATGAATATGGACCACACCATTTAACACCTGTCTGATTACATGGTGTTTGTGTTCCTGTGTGTCGGCGTGTATGGTAAGGATAGACTTTATTAGTTGAGGTTTGTATGGGATCTGTGTGTCTGCGTCTGGACTTTTGGAAACATTTCATTTAGAAAACAGGCCTCATCGGCTGATGCGTCATTCACATCAGATCTCAACTACAAATGAGTTACTCCACACTAACCTCGTAAATCACAATACAACTTTTCACTCTGTTCCTACAGTCACTGCAGAGGACAATAACTTTTCATATTTATGTATATGCAGAACACGTGTGCTTGCGTTTGTTTTTTTCATATCATTTTGTGTTTCGCAACAGATTTTGTATTTATTGAAGTAGTATTTTCTTGAAAAAATACTGTTCCATTTTACAGTCCCATTATGTCTGTAAATTGAAACACAGGCTCAAATCTATAACAACCTCAGGTATGCATCAGAGTTTGATACTAGACTATTTTTAGTAATATCATAAGGAACAATTCCACTTCCCCTCAGATCTTGATAAATATTATTTCAAAAATAAATATTTCAGTCTACTGTATATTTTCTACTTTTTAATGCTGTTTTAATTCTATTTTGAGATGTTTAATTTCTAGTATTGTTTATTTCTACTCTTTAATTTCTACTTATGTGCAATGCCTTCTTTTGTTTCTTATTTTTCAAACATTTCCCAATTTGGGATCAATAAAGTACCTCTTATCCTTATTTTATTGTTTCAATACATCACAGTTTACCAGGAATAACCAGTTGGAATTTGCTGTAATTCTTATTATCAACAAAAACACACATATAAATGCACAGAGCATTGTACCTGATACTGATATACAGTATATGGCTGGAGTGCTTCATCTCTGCAGGTGGTAGAGGCGTTCCAGTAGACAAGTGTCGCTGCTTCACGTCCGAGGGTATCAGTGGTATGGTCTAGTTTGCGGTACACCTCGTAGTGAAGGACTCTACCATTAGGCTGAGCTGGAGGGGACCAGGTGAGCAGAAAGGTGGTCTGCAGGCCTGTGTGTGCGTCAGGCTGGAGGTCTAACAGTGGCGCTGTTTGTCCAGCAGGGGGAGCCTCCAGAGTGAGTACAGAGGACCAGTCACTGGCGGAGCAGCCAAGCGCTGTGCACGCCTCCACCCTCACCTCATACCTACACATACACACATGTTTTGAAATGTTAGAATTATTTTGTTGTGAAATATTGAATTAGATGCTTAAAATACATCAACATATTTGCAATCAAAGACAGTGGTGTACTGAGCTAACGTAGGACCTAAATACTGAAAACATAAAGAATAAGAGCTCAGCAAGTGAAGCAATTGTTCAATCACTCTATTGACAGCATGTTTGAAATAATGTCTTTCTCAAACGAATATCTATTTAACCCACATTACTCGGTAATTAATTTGGAAAAACAGTTTTTTTTGGAGAGAAAATAATTTAGATGAAGGAGAGGAGTGAGGGGGAGAAAAAGAGAGGGAAGGTGATGAAGATGAGTTGAATGGATAGAAGGTCATCAGAGAGGGGGAGCGATCTATAGATGATAAGGTTGATGAGCTTTTATTATCTGAATCTTATCACCACGTACACTCTCACACATACACAACCACACTGACACACAGGTATAGAAACACCCACACTTGCACATGCATACGCACCCTTCGACACACAGACATACTCGCATATACATTTTTTTGTTTATACTGAACTGTCACATGATGGATGCATGACTACTGCTTAAAGGGTGAATCACTTTTATTTACAAAATTCCTGCTTTGTAAGATCACAACAATGTCCTTTTGACAGCCTGTTTGAGAGGTTGTTTTTCAACAAGATATTTGCATTTTGCTAAGTGCATTAGTATTCTAATTTATTGCACAGGCTTCAGAAATACAGCATTTGACTTATTTATTAATTATTATTAAGTATTCAAGGGTCAACACTGCGGTAAGAACCCCACAGTGATGTTCATCTTTTATACCTTACCTAAGATTATTTTTCATTTGAAGGCATGTTGTATAAATATTTAAACATACTGGTTTGGGACTTTTTTCTGTCTTTCTCCTATTTAGTGAATGTTTTTAGGAAAATTAAGGTTATTATTGATTAAAATGATAATCCAATGAACAGAGCTCTGCTATTTCCTGTTCAAAGAGTCTACCAAAATGTTTAGTTTTTTGCTACCAATAGATGGCACTATGTTCCCTTGCTTCTCATATTTTCTTCATTTCAGCACAAGGGGCTAGGAAATAGCTTTAAAATATTGTATCTTGGCGCTATGTATTAACCAAAAAAAACATACACATTATTTCGTCTTATATATGTGCCATATATCAAATGTATAAACTGCTGCATAAAAACCTAAATGTAAACAGTGGTGGAGATCTGTTGTGAGTGACCTGTGGTAAGAAGCCAGCCCATGCAGAGTGGTGTGTCGAGCAGAGAAGTCCTCGTCCTCTGGAGTGAACACAGTGCTGGAGCTGCTGAGATGGACTGGATCTCTCTGATGCACGGTGTAACTCAAAATGTCTCCATTGGGACGGGCCGGAGTACTCCACTCTACCCGCAACTGGAAACAACATAAACACTTCTTAACATCGATGTAAAGACAGTAGGGAGATAAATCTCAGCATTAGTGATGACATGATCCAGCTGTTACTTATATGGACTGAAGAGATGGATGACTACCTGGCTTGGTCCCAGAGGTGTCAGTGTGGGCAGACCGACCCCAGAAGGAGCTGACGGGGGAGTCTTTGCTGAGGCTGCCGCGCTGCTCGCTGCACCTTTGCTGTTGTTGGCCCTCACAACGTAGCTGTATTCTACGCTTGGCAGAAGTGTAAAGTCGTGGTAGTGGGTCTCTGTGCCGACATAGATAACTTCACCATCTCTGCGGAGTTCATATCCCGTGATGATGCCATTAGGGTGCTCTGGTTGTCTCCAGCTAACCTCCACTGACTCTGGACCAGTGACCTTAAAGGGAAGTTGAAAGGTCACGTTAAACAGAGCTATCAGTAGTGTAAGAACAATTAAAACTCAACAAATCTCCCCACAATTTTGTACTTGTTTTACAGATGATTCAATAATCAGTGCTTATGAGGTTTGGCACATTTGTACAAGAGGTTATATTGACTTTGGATGATTGATATTTCAAAGTCAAATTTTCTTGATTCTTTCTGGACTATAATGAAAATATGTAGGTACTGCACACTTAGTAACAGAGGTTTTAATTGAATGTCTAAAGTAAGCAAGCACACCTTAAGAGTCGGGGGAATTAAGCCAGTGGGAGGAGCCTCCCCGGTCACAACTGATTTTCGGTCGCTGCTGGTGCACCCACCGCTGGTACAAGCTGAAAGGACCAGATGATATGACGTGTGTGGCTGCAGATCAGACAACACTGTATGTAGGTTTCTCCCACGATAAATTTCCTGGTTGTTCAGTTTCAGCACATATTCTGTGACCTCTCCATTCTGTGTCAGTGGTTTACTCCAGGAAATGTTCAAACTGTTGGATGTGATGCTGTCCACTGCGGGAGCTTCAACTGTCGCAGGTGGAGCCTGCAGAGTTGTGATGTTTGTGTGAGGACTGTTGATGCACCCCTCAGACGTGCACGCTATAATGGAGTAGCTGTATAAATTAATAGAATAGAATCAAAGTTTAATCATTGTTTGAAAAAGTTACACGTTTTTTCATGGTTGTTATTTCCATAAGCAAGCTTTAGGTTAGTTAATTTGAGAAACACAATGGTATGAGTAAAAGCAAGCAGTACCTATATGTTGAAAATGGCAGGAGGTCTTCGTCTGTGTAGCTGAGCACAGTAGGGTCAAAACTAAAGGAGAAGCTGACATTGTTTCTCTGAATCCTGTAGGACTGAAGTATCCCATTGGGCTCCAATGGGGGAGACCAGGCAACCAACACCTTACTGGGCTGGCCTTGGAGGTGACTCACTGTCGGGGGAGCCAGACCTCGAGGGGAAGCCTGTTTGGTTGTCACGGTTACCCAGGGGCTGCGGGTGTGTCCGGCAGGGTTGTGAGTCTGGACGCTGAACTCGTAGCGTGTCCAGGGACGCAGACCAGTCACTGTATACGAGAAGCTGTCAGCATGTTGTGGGGATGGTTCTCTGAACAGCACCTGTTAGAGAAAGCCGGGGATGATTAAGGTTATGTGGTACAAACACAATATTGATTTAAAAACTCTCATTCATATGGATATTGGTGGCACCTCGTTATTCTTTCAGTGTAAAGAGAAATAATAAATGTTACCATGAACTGTCTTTAATTTAACCTACCTTTCCTCTGTCAACATCGTCTTCATTACTTCTTTCCCTGCCGAATTCCTCCAGACTTCTCCCAATTAAAGAATACTCTCCGATTGGCCCATTGGTCTGAGAGGGAGGGCCCCAGGTAAGGGACACACGGTCTGGGCCAACCAAGAGAGGCCTGGGAGGGGGCTGGGAAGCAGGTGGAGCTGCTGCGGTGGTGACATGCTGGGGAGGGGTGCGTGTGCAGCCTGCTAAGGTGCAAGCTTCAAGAGTCAAAGTATACATGGTCCATGGCTCCAAACGGCGAAACAGGAAGTTGCGTGATAAGCCGCTGAATTCCAAGTTCCCCTCACTGTACAAGTTGTACATCTGGAAAGGTAGCATGGGAAAGCAGTGGAAGGGAAATAAAAGTATGCTGTCAGTGGGAGAGGTCATATGACAAAGTGGAAACAGAGGAGGGACAAAGACATCAGAGAAGAACAGAAAAATAGTCTTTCTGTTATATGGTAGCGGCACAGATGCAGGCCTATTGCTGTGCATGTAGTGTGTATTAGAATATATATGTAAAGTGTGTGCTTATATATGTGAATAGCTGAATCACATGGGTCAATTTTGTGTCTTGTACGTTTGTAACATTAGTGATTATAATCAACTTGTTAGCTTTTGTATGTGTCTATGTATAATATTGGTATCTATTGGATGTTTCTTCTTGTGACACTGACTTAAACTGAGGAGCACCTTGCATCACGTGATCTGCTCAATTCTGTGTTTACACTCGGGTACGTGTTCTGTGTCTTTGTACTGTGTTTTGGAGGTACCGTGATAATTCCATTTGGAGCATGTGGCTGATCCCAGTTCAGCAGTAAGGCCCTGCCCTGCTCTCTCTGCTCCACCGTGAAGTTAGCCAGGCCAGCAGGAGAAGCCTCCAGAGTCCTGATGGAGACCCAGGGACTGGACACGCTACCTGAAGGGTTACACATATTTTCTTTGCTCAATTAATGTTTCAATGGTCGGAGCTGATATTATTAATTCTTGATTAGGGGTGACATACCAGAATTGAGGATATTTAAAATATGAAACATTGATAAAATGGTAATAATACACTTATAGTAATAATAATTCAGTGCTTCTCAAATTATCTCTGCTTCTTTCCGTTCTCGCTTTGCCTCCCTCTCCAAATGACCGACACACAAATGAATGCAATTAATTAATTTGCCAAAAAAAAGACAAAAAGCACAACAAACAACAAACATTTAACGCTTTTTTAAATGTTCTGTAGATGTTGCAATCATTTTGTTATTGTGGATAATCCTGTAGTGAAAATCTGATATTGTGACAGCCTTATTTTTGATATTTTAAATGAGTTATTGACCATCTTCAACTTGCCTGCCTCGTTCACAGCTTCCACTCGTAGACTATACTGACTGTACGGTTCAAGACCATAGACTGTTGCTTCTAAGACTGAACCCTGAAAAGGAAAGAGAGACAACGGTGTCATACGATGTGATATATCACATTATATATATAGAGACAAAATGAAAAATAAGAAAATAAGAATGAGAAAAATGTAGGAGATTAGGATTTGATGCAGATAGTTATAGGGCAAAGAGATATAAGAGGGCAAAGAGATATAAGAGAGAAAAGAGTGAAGACAAAGGAACGATTTGGCACGAGTTGAAAGGAGAAAGAAAACAGAGCGGCGATTGAAAGGGACACAGCAAAGTGAGTAGCATGCCACAGCAAGAGAAGAGAGCGAGTTAGTTACACAAACAAATCCTGCATGAATAAAAACCAGTGCATCACTCATTAAAATGGGGAATGAAAAGGAACACTGAAACAATGGCGAGCTAAGATGACATGACATGGGATTTGTGATATCAACATTTCAACATACAGGCTCTGCCGTGGTAAAGTAAGTACACACCAGAGAAGTGGCAGAGACAGAGAGACTGGCAGGCAGACGGCCGTCCCTCATGGGTGAATTCAAAGCTTCCAGATTGAGTGTTTATGTCACACATGCACCCTTTCATATCACTCACACACACACACACACTGACATAAACACTCACAGACACAGGAGGAGTGGGTCTGCCAGTAGCTTTAGGCAGTGGGACCCAGCCCAACACCCTGGCAGACACAGGGGCAGTGTGTTTGTGTAAGTGTGTGTGTGTTTGTGTGTCTGTGTGTGTGTTATACAGTGGGAACACCATTTACTAATTGATAAGAGACACACTGTTGTTTGAAAAGGCCCTGGCGTGCAATGACATGGTAGTGAGGGAGCACTAGTCTCCGGGACTGCCTGTTTGTTTGTTTGTTTATGACTGTGAGCTCTAAAGCAGCTATGAGACTGATGTTTATGTGTGTGTGTGTGTGTGTGTGTGTGTGCGTGTGCGTGCGTGTGTTTGTGTGTGAACATACTTCTGTGCTTGTACAACATAGCAGGCTATATTTTTTTCATGGGTTGAGTTTGCAGTTTTGAAAAGCTTGTCTATTCAGGACTGTATTTCACATAAGCAAGCATATGTAAAGAGATTAACTGGTAACCAACTTCAATGCAACGGCAAGAGGATCAAAAAGGCTCCAATAGAAACTGAATCAAATGAAAACCCTGACAAATCACCGTAGCGTGGCACCAAGGATGAACTGTCTGAACATCAACAGAAAGCATGTATTCACTGTTTTCATGTCTGGGAGCCAACGTGTTTTTCATCCACAGTAAAATAGGATTAATAAGCCCCTAGACACCTAGACACGAGCTAAATCCTCCTGCAAATCAGAGCACTTCTCAGTAAAAGAGGGAGGGAGGGAGGGACGCAAAGAGAGAGACACAGGGATGGAGAGATTGAAAGGGAAAGGGGCGGTGGTAGTGAGAAATTAGGGCAGAAAGAAATAAAGAAAGATCGGAATAAAATAAAGTATACATAAGTAAGGCGATGTAGGACAGAGAATTGGAAAAGAGGGATATAAAAGAGAACGAGGTGAGTAAGTTAATAACTGATGAAAAAAAAGAACAGACAGAAGGTTGGGGGTGTGAGAAAGAGTAAGGCAGAGAGAGATTGAGTGAATGGTTAAAAAAAGATAGAAGGAAGCTAAAGTGGGAGAGAGAAAAAAAGATAAATGTGGCAAAAGGGAGAGACAGATTAAGTGAGCGAGAATGAGAGATCTCTCTACCTTAAAAGCCAGTGAAATATGTGAGGCATGTGGCCTATAAAGCGGTTAACATATGCACATTGTCAATAGCAGCATCTGGCGCTGGCAGCTTTTATAGGAGCATGGAGACTCTGCTACACGCCTCTAGATGGCAATACATTCAAACACTTTATCACTGAAACACACCACATTAACAGCCCACTAACACTCACACACTCACACACACACACACGCGATCAAGCACTATGAAATTCCCCACCTCAGCCTGCTAAGTGCACACAAACCGACACACATACAGATGCGCAGACAGGCAGTAATCAAATGGTGCAACACTAAAACACATACTATTACATTACATTAACAGCTCCCCCAATAACTATTTCTCTCTCATACATACTCATGTGCAGAGACACACACAACACATGCTTTCATCGTATAACGGAAAATGTAGACAAAAACACACACACTTAACAAAATAAAGACATTACGGAGAAAATACCACACAGTTCAAAAGTCCAACTTAATTTTTTTCCGGTTTCATATTTTAGGTATATCATACAGAATTTGACCTTCATATCTGTAGGATTAAACAGCTAGAGGCATTACATGTCAGTTTATTTTTGGATGCATGTCAATTTTAGCACCAATTGTGGGGCTATGGGTTATATTGCAATCTAGCAATACGTATTTATGCTTTCATTTAGTAAGATTTTGGCCAGGTTGTAGTGGAGGATTTTACATTTTTGCTGCAGTATCAGCAAGATGAACTGGAATGATTGTCCAAGACTGCAGCAGAGTGTAGCTGCTTTTGACAAACTGTCCAACACATGAAGACCACATGAATCGCTACAATGTGAAATATGAAAGCAAAAGGTTCTCGTCAAACTAAATTCATTGTACATGTGTGTGTGGATGATCAAAGTCACTAGTTAATCATGCCAAATGCAAAAGAACAGAGGGAGAGCATTAAGTCAAGAGAGAAAGGGAGAGATGGGGGGGGTGCAAGACACATTTGCACAGATATAAAGGAAAGAAGGTGTAAATAAGACAGATGTAGAGAAAAGGAGACAATGATAGGAAAAGAAGAGAAGAGACAGGAAGAGGTCTCTCTAATTTAAACATTAAAGAGTCCTCAGATCTTACATGGTTCAACACAACTTAGCATTGAGGGCAAGGAAGCAATTTATTCAATCTTTAATTTCCTCATTCTGTCTTCTCTTTGGTGTGTGAGCTGAGCTACAGCAGGGGTCCTCTGGACAGTGTGTGTGTGTCAGTGTTTCTGCATGTGTAACCTATATTCCGTGTGCTCCTTGAACCTGGTGCAAATGCATCTTTATTGGTATCTATTTGTGTGCATTTGCATGTATCCTAACAAGCTCACATCTGCATGCATCTTGTTTTGTGCCCATGTGTCCCTAGAAGTGTGTGTGTGTGTGTGTGTGTGTGTGTGTGCAAGTGCACAGCTGTGTGTGTGTGTGATATTCAGGTGGAGAGGCATGGTGCGGCCGGGGGGACAGTGTGTGATACTAATTAAGAATAACCATGTGTATTTGTCAAAAGAATTATGCTGATTATCTCACAAAGGCCCCAGCACTGGGCCCCGCAGAGAGTCAGAGACAGAGAGACGGACTAACATTAGCATATGGCTACACACACACACACACACACACACACACACACACACACACACACACACACACACACACACACACACACACACACACACACACACACACACACACACACACACACACACACACACACACACACACACACACACACACACACACACACACACACACACACACACACACCACACACACACACACACACACACACACACCACACACACACACACACCCACACACACACACACACACACACACACACACACACACACACACACACACACACACACACACACACACACTTTCTGTCTCCCTCTTTGTCTCTCACACACACAGACACGTAGGTAAAAGTAAAGTGAGTGCCTAAGAACATACATGAAAGAACCATGCCTAATGATAGGTGAGTGGGGTCTACTTGGGCTGCCTTCAGGACGTTTCTCTTCTCTGGCCTCTCTGCTCTGTCATATTAAGTCCTGGAGAGATAATAAAGCACCCCGCTGATTCACCTTTTTTTATGTGCCTTAGTTCTTTCAGTGTGTGGTAAAACAGGCTATGATCAGATAAGCTTCAATTCAATCCAATTCAGTTCAATTCAATTTAATTCAGTTCTTTAGTCCAGTCTATTAGGACAAGCTGTGCCCTGACCAGCCCTGTGAGAGCAGTAATTGTTTTCGGAGGTTTCTGAGGTGAGCCAGTGAACCACACGCTGCTCTCTCGCGCCCCATGCCAAGCTCTAAAGCCAAGTTTGTGTGTGTGTGTGTGTGTACGTATTTATGTGTGCATGGCTAATTCAATGCTGCGGGAACAATTGCCCTGTGTCTGTTTGCAAATGCCCTGCGTGGGTGTCCCTGCTAGTCAGTGTGCGTTAGACAAACCCTGACACATACAGAGGACCGTGCGACACGTACACACTCGTACACACACATACAACACAACCATAGACACACAGAGTGCCATTAGGCATGTGTTTTGTCTGTGGCCAGCACAGACATAGAGAGGGACTGCAGGGGTCTGGAACAGGCATGCCCACTTCACACCGACAGCCATGATTGGCTTTGGCGGCTCCAGACCCCAGGAACAGCATATTTGGTGAGTTTGTATGCATGAGTTTGTGTGTGTGGTGTGTGTGTGTGTGTGTGTGTGTGTGTGTGTGTGTGTGTGTGTGTGTGTGTGTGTGTGTGTGTTTGTGAGATGTGGTCAAATTATTCCAAATATGGGGCAGTATGTGTAAAGTCTATACATATTTCCTAAAATTGGAAGGGGCGAGCATGTATTTGACTTGAAATGGACAATTTCAACACAAAAGCCACAATTATACAAAAATCATTTTCCTCTATTTAGTTTTTCTTGCTGTCTATTGCTGGGTAGAGTTGAGGAACAAATTGATACAAAACTAAGATTAACTTAAAGGGGACCTATCATGCAAAATGCACTTTTGTACGTCTTTTATACATGAATATGTGTCCCCGGTGTTCCAGGGAACTCACCAAGTGTCAGAAAACACAACCCTCTCTATTTTCCTCCATACCCAAATCTCTAAAAAAGGGGCTGCAACGGATCTGATAAAAACTGATCCAGATTTGAACACTGTCCTGACGTCAGGACGGTGGCGCTACGGCTATTGGGCCAACTCCACCAATCAGGAGGAGACCGCCACGGCCATTGCCGTTCGAAAGCGCTGGAGACGCTG